AAAATTTTCTTCATTATTTGTCTCCAAAACCAAAATGAAAAAAAACAGATAATGATTTGTTTTTTCAGTTTTTCGATTTGTGCTAAAATGAAAAATGGAAAATCGGATAATGGACTGAAACCAGGTCTAACCAGGTCTAAACCAGGTCTAAACCAGGCCTAGACCAGGTCTAGACCAGGTCTAGACCAGGTCTAAACCAGGTCTAGACCAGGACTAAACCAGGTCTAAACCAGGTCTAAACCACGACTATTATCAATTTTTTCCATTCATTAATTAAAAAATAAAATTGAAAACTGAAAAAAACAAATCATTATCTGTTTTTTTCATTTTGGTTTTGGAGACAAATAATGAAGAAAATATTTTTTTTTGTGTCCATACTATCTTGTCAAAGCCTGATCCCGTCAGATCTCAGGAGTTCAGAGGTTTGGGTCTGGACTTGGATGGAGACTCGGGAAAATCACAGCCACAGGAGGCGCCAGTGGCAAAAAACTGTTGTTCTTAGGCAAGACACTTCACCCTCATTGCCTAATATATGAAAGTGGTGTGTGTGTGAGTGATGGTGGTGGTTGGAAGGGCTGATGGTGCAGATTGGCAGCCTCACTTCTGTCAGTCTGTCCCAGGGCAGCTGTGGCTACAGTTGTAGTTTACAAGCACCGAGTGTCGAGTGAATAAATACTGAACTGTAAAGTGCTTTGGGGATCTTCAAAGGCGTTATATAAATGCAATGATTAATTAATTCATTTTTGTTTTCTTATTTTTAGTTTTATTTTGAAAAATGAATGAACGAACGACACACAGATTTTCTACATGTACTGTGCTGTGGAAAAGTATTTACCCCCGTGTCGATTTCTTACCTTTTTTGCACTTTTGTCAATCTTGGCCATTTCAGATCGAGCAAACTTAAATATTAGACAAAGATAAACTCACAAGTAAACACAAAATGTTCCGTTCTGGCAAAAGTGAGACGAGCCTTTATGTTCTTTGCCTTGGAACTCTGCCATTTTTTTCCTCGTCTTTTTCTTCTGGTTGAGTCATGAACACTGACCTTTACCGAGGAGAGTGAGTTCTGCGGATGTTGAGATGTTCTTCTGGGTTCCTCTGTGAGCTCTTGGATCTTTGTAACCTTTCTCATGCTCAGACATGTCTATTACTTTTCTCCTTTTCTGCTCCTGGATTTCTCTGGATCACGGCATGACGACAAATGTGTCATCATCAAACGCACCGCAAACGACGCAAAGAACAAAACGATGAAAACCAAGAGCCCTGTTCAGTCCTTTTTAGTCTTTTAGTCCGTCCTTTTTTAGTCCACTTTTAGTCCTGTTTTAGTCTCTTTTAGTCCTGGTTCAGTCAGTCCTCTTTTAGTCCTGGTTCAGTCCTCGTTTAGTCCACTTTTAGTCCTGTTTTAGTCCTTGTCCACATTTAGTCCTGTTTTAGTCCTGGTTCAGTCCTCTTTTAGTCCTGGTTCAGTCCTCGTTTAGTCCTGGTTCAGTCCACTTTTAGTCCTGTTTTAGTCCTGTTTTAGTCCTGGTTCAGTCTTGGTTCAGTCCTGGTTCAGTCCTGGTTTAGTCCTGGTTTAGTCCTATTTTAGTCCTGTTTTAGTCCTGTTTTAGTCCTGGTTCAGTCCTCCTTTAGTCCTGGTTCAGTCCACTTTTAGTCCTGTTTTAGTCCTGGTTCAGTCCTCTTTTAGTCCTGGTTCAGTCCTGGTTCAGTCTTGGTTCAGTCCTGGTTTAGTCCTATTTTAGTCCTCTTTTAGTCCTGGTTTAGTCCTGGTTTAGTCCTATTTTAGTCCTGTTTTAGTCCTGGTTCAGTCCTGGTTCAGTCCTGGTTTAGTCCTGCAGATTTCATGAGCTTATACAGTTTGTTTTCAGCTCCGGTTTGACATTTAAGTCGTGGGTTATTTTATATTTGTTATTTTTTTTAACCTCACGTCAGGAGAAGCGGGTGGACGACGAACCCCCCGCCGTACCACGACCACGACACCCCTGCATTTGTCGCTCCAAATTACGAGCACTGACCTTTACCGAGTCGAGGTGAGATGTTCTTCTGGGTTCCTCTGTGAGCTCTTGGACCCGTTGTCGTTCTCCTCGCGGCGTCGCTTTCGGAGGCCGGCCGCTCCTGGGCAGGTTCACCACCGTCCCGTGTTTCCTCCACTTGTGGATTATGGCTCTGACCGTGGTCCGCTGCAGTCCCAGACATTTAGAAATGACTTTGTAACCTTTCCCACGCTCAGACATGTCTATTACTTTCCTCCTTTTCTGCTCCTGGATTTCTTTGGATCGCGGCATGATGTCTCGAGCTCAGTGTGGCCGACTTCTTCACTTCTTCTCTTCACCTCGTCAGACGGGTTCTTCTCTCGATTTGAAAACTTTTTTGGCAGCATCGGCCCTGGGCGTGGCTCTCAAACTGAACTCAGCTTTCCACAATAATGTTACCTCATCATTTAACACGGGGGCAGTTACTTTTCACGCAGGATCATGCAGGTTTGGAGATTTGATGTTTACCTGGGTTGTCTTTGTGTAATATTTCAATTCCTTTGATGATGTGAAATGGTAAATTTTTATCAAGAAAGTAAGAAATCAGGAAGGGAGCGAATACTTTTTCAGAGCGCTGTGGCTCTATGGGCAGAACGTTCAGCAGTTACTACGGTGAAACATACTGCAGCGGCCCAGTGCGTCTCAGTTCAAGAAAATGGCTTTAAGAACAGAAACGATGAAAATGAACAAAAAAAGACACAAGTTTAAATGAGGTACAAACAAAGAGCGTGGGGTAAATGAAAAAAAAAAGTGCTGCAAGAAAAAGACAAATGTGTCATCATCAAACGCGCCGCAAACAGAGAAACGATGCAAAATACAAAGCGATGAAAACCAAGAAAACACATCCATCCATTTTCTTCCACTTCTCCGGGGTTGGGTCGCGGGGGCAGCAGTCTAAGCAGGGACTCCCAGACTTCCCTCACCCCAGACACTTCCTCCAGCTTCTCCGGGGGAACCCAAGGTGTTCCTAGGCCAGTCCAGAGACATAGTCCCTCCAGTGAGTCCTGGGTCTTCCCTGGGGCCTCCTCCCGGTGGGACATGCCCGGAACACCTCCCGAGGGAGACGCCCAAGAGACATCCGGAACAGATGCCCGAGCCTCAACTGCTCCTGTCGACGTGGAGGAGCAGTGGCTCTACTCCGAGCTCCTCCCGTGTGACTGAGCTCCTCACTCTATCTCTAAGGCTGCGTTCAGACTGCAGCCTGAAGTGACCCAAATCCGACTTTTTGGCTTCTATGTTCCTGTATCTGATCTTTTAATGTCAGTCTGAACCACACAGATCCGATTTTTTTCAAATGTGACCCAGGACACTTGGATATGTGCTCCTGAAACTGATACATATCTGATCTTTAACATGCGACTTCAGTGTGAACGGCCAAAGTGCATTCATCCACCTACACGTTATCAACAAGACACAAACGTCATTATTCTGCACTGAAGTAGGAGAAAATTGTTAATGAACTCTGTGTGACTGAAGTGAAGCACATCACCACTCACCACTCTTGGCTCCGTCTCCACATCCACACGTTCCTTTCAACAGACTGAACCACAAAAACACCACGACCAAAAACCTCGTCCTTCTCCTTCTCAATCTCCTCCTTAAAAAAATAAGTTGTTCATGTTCTGGCTCCGGTACAAGAGGAACTTTAAAATCTCCAGGTGCTCGATGCTGCGTCCATGTTTGGACAACTTCTGTAAACACAGAGACGCTCACTGCGGTTGACGTCGTCGTGTCTCCAGTGTCACATGTGGGACACTTTTGGGCCGTTTAATGTTCACACTGGAGACACATACAAGTCACATTTAACTGGAAATGTGAACAACCTCACAAAAACATCAGATTTCACCAAAAAAAATCTGAATTGAGCGTTAAGCCCTGCAGTCTGAACATAGCGTAAGGGAGCACCCAGACATCCTGCGGAGGAAACTCATTTCGATCGCTTGTATCCGTGATCTCATCCTTTTGGTCATTACCCAGAGCTCATGACCAGAGGTGAGGGGAGGAACAAAGACTGACCAGTAAATCTGGAGCTTTGCCTTTGGGCTCAGCTCCTCTTCACTGCAACAGTCCGATACAGTCCCCTCACTTGAGAACAAAACCCCGAGACACTTGAACTCCTCCACTTGAGGCAGGGACTCTCCACCCACCTGGAGATGACAAGATGCTTTTTTCTGGTCGAGAACCACGACCTCGGACTTGGAAGAGCTGATCTTCATCCCAGCCGCTTCACACTCTGGTCAAACCGTCCCAGAGCTGCAGGTCCTGGTTCGATGAAGCCAACAGAACAACATCTGTGAACAGCAGAGATGATCCTGTGGTCCCCAAACCGGAAAATTCTTGTTCTTAATTTTGGTTTACATAATTTCTGTGCCACTTCTGATTATAAACAGATGATAAACAGACGTCGATGAGCCTTGACTCTAATGTTCCCGCTGTAGTTTATTGTCAGTTGGCCGTTTTCTGTCTCTCTCATGGACAGAGCCTTTCTCTCTCTCTCTTCCTCCGGTGTGTCTCCACTGAGCTGTTACACTGAGAGCGCCCCCTGTAGGATGTGGTGACTCTTTATGCAGTGTTTTTTTGTTTTTCGGTGTTTTCTTGGTTTTCATCTTTTTGTGTTTTGTGTTGTTTCTCTTCATCGTTTTCTTCTTTTACTCAAGTTTTACGCAAGTTTTACGCAAATTTTACACAGATGGCCTTTCTAAAATATGAAATTAAAAACAATATACCTTTTTAATACCAAAAAACAGTTATCATAATACATTTTTAAAGACTATACTGTTTTACTCAAGGTTTATGCAAATGTTTTCATTGTTTTGTGTTTTGCGTCATTTCTCTGTTTGCTGATGACACATTTGTCTTTGTTTCTTGCAGCGTGTGTTTTGTTTTTTGTTTTGTTTTTTACACCACGTTCTTTGTTTGTTCTCGTTTAAACTTGTGTTTGAGTTTGTGAATTTGCGTCATTTCTGGAGTTGAAGTTGGTTTCCCGCAAACAGTGTCAAAAAAGGTTAAAGAAATGGATTTAAAAGTGCATTTTCAGGAGCCTGTGATCACTCCGAGCGCTCGTACTCGTGTTTAGGAGTTTGAGTTTTAAGCAGAAGGTGAGAGTGACTAAATCCGTCTTTCGTCGTTGTGTGTTTTGTGTGAGAGTTTTGTTTAAGCGCACAAATCCTGTCACCTGTTGTAGTTCCAGCTCAGTCTTACTAAGTCTTTCTGCTCAGATTGTGTTAAATTAAAGCTGATATTAAAGTCTTAAAGCTTCAGACAGGGCAGAGTCTACAGTTCACTTCACACCTCCTGAGAACCGTGATGACGTCAGCTGCAAGTTCAAGTCCTGCTGCCCGGCCCTGAGTCACACCAAAATCACACTCCACTTTATTTGTTTTAGGGCACTGAGGAAGAAAATCAGGCCTTCAGGAGGAGACTTTTTGTATTTTTTATTTATTTTTTTATTCATTTGAACTGTTTTAATGTTATTTTGTGTTTTACAATGAACTGATTCATGTTTAAATGACACCAAATAAACTGATTTAGGGTTAGGGGTAGGATAGGGATAATAAGAGGTAACAAGTTCTACACAAGTTTTACAGTGGTTGCCTTTCTAAAATATGAAATTATATAAAAAAATAAAATAAAATAAAATATGTACCCTTTTATACCAAAACCAGTTATCATAATACATTTTAAAGACTTTATAATTTTGCGCAAGTTTCAAACAGGCAGCCTTTCTAAAATATGACATATATATATATATATATATATATATATATATATATATAAAGAATATACCTTTTATACCAAAAAACAGTTATCATAATACATTTTTAAAGACTTTATTCAAGTTTTATTCAAGTTGTACACCAGTTTTACACAGGCAGCTTTTTTAAAATATGAAATTATATTAAAAATATATACCTTTATCCTGAAAGTTTGACTCAAGTTTTACCCAGGCGGCTTTTCCAAAATATTAAATTATATAGAAAAAAAACAATATACCTTTTATACCAAAAACCATCATTATCATAATACATGTTTAAAGACTTTATAGTTTACTCAAGTTTTACTGCTTACTTTCTAAAATATGAAATTATATATATAAGAATATACCTTTTATACCAAAAAAAACTGTTAGCATAATACATTTAAAAGACTTACTGTAAGATTATAACCAAGGAACATTTCCATGAAAACAAAGCCAAAATAGTCAGGAAACATGTTTTTTGTGTATATTTTGGCTAAAAAGTTACACACTGTGCCTTTAAATTGCTGATTCTTCATAACGCTGTAGGAAAACAGCGATGACTAAACCTCATTATGTTTTTATAGCTGCGCTCGGTTGAACTATAAAACCTTTTTTAACCAGACGGGGGCAGTATTTCAGCGCTAATGGTCTCCTCCTGACCTTTTTATTACCTCCTGTTCCCATTACGGTCTCGGAGGAAGACATTTAGAAGAACGGTATTTAACAAACACGGACAATCAAATAACCACTTCACTTTTTATCCACTGCTGCGCTCGTAAAGCAGCTCCCTATGACGACGGTTTCTCATCTGGAGTCGTGTTTAGTTTCATTCACACGTGTTTAACTCAAAAACTCTGCACATTTAGTAGAGCTGGGGATCATTAAGAAGTTGAAGATACGATAAATCCCTCGATATGTAGACCATAATACAATACATTTTTCAATACAGTGTACTTTCAAATCTTTTTGATACGGTTCAGTGAAAAACAAAGGCTGAATCATGTCTGTGATACTAAAAGTCTTAAGTCCACAATCTTGGAAAAGTCATAGAATTTTATTATCTTTTTCACACAATTCAAACATTTTGTTAAATTGTTATTTGGTTATTATGATTATTTTTGAACTTCTGCGTCTTTTGTTTAACCCTTTTACATCCCTAGGAACATTTTTATACATTACAATTTTTCTTTTTGTCATAACTTTGATGATATTGCACCAAATAGCACCAAAATTGGCCGGTTTGTGTATTTTCTGGTGTATTTTTAATTTCTGTGTTTTATTTTTTATTTCAAGATCACATTAATTGAACGGTCTATAATCAAAATACTTTTCATTTTTGTCCCATTGACTTCCGTTCAAAATGGCTTAGTTTACTGACATAACTTTGCCAGTTTATTTTTACTTTTTGATTTATTTTTCATTCTTTGGTGTTGAAAATCCTTAAGAATGTTTAGTTTTAGTGTCTTTTTGAATTTTGGTCTGGTTTAGTCCTGGTTTAGACCTAGTTTAGTCCTGGTTTAGACCTGATTCAGTCCTGATTCAGTCCTGGTTTAGTCCTGGTTTAGTCCCAGTTTAGACCTAGTTTAGTCCTGGTTTAGTCCTGGTTTAGACCTGGTTTAGTCCTGGTTTAGACCTGGTTTAGTCCTGGTTTAGTCCTAGTTTAGTCCTAGTTTAGTCCTGGTTTAGACCTGGTTTAGTCCTGGTTTAGACCTGGTTTAGTCCTGGTTTAGTCCTAATTTAGACCTGGTTTAGTCCTGGTTTAGACCTGGTTTGGCTTAGACCTGTTTCAGTCCTGGTTTAGTCCTAGTTTAGACCTGGTTTAGTCCTGGACCTGGACCTAAGCCTCTGACAGACATGTAGTTTTTAAAGTTAATGATTCAAGATATAAATATCTATATATATATATATATATATATATATATATATATATATATATATATATATATATATATAATGTATGTATTTATTTATATTTATTATTGATTATTCTTTATTATTATAACAGAACTTGACACTCGTTTGTTTACACTCGTTTGTTTACTCTCGTTATTTCTTTCGTTCTTTCTTTCTTCCTCGTGTCTTAGATGTGTGTCGAAGCGTCAGTGTTTTGCGCCCGCCGCCCTCTACTGTCCGTTTGGGGAACAGGCGGCCGGGGTTCGCTCCCTCACACAGTTCCAGGCTCTTCAGGACGGGGAGCAGGAGCTGAGCGCGCTGAGGGACCTGGGCCTCACGCACGACGAGATCCAACTGTGGAGGAGCAGAGACCACGAGACGGACAAGGTACAAGACTCCGCCCCCTCCAGCTTAGACCCAGACTTACACAAACTTTATTGATCCACAAAGGAGTAAAAAATATAAATAGTGATAATAAATTCTAAATAAGTTGCAAAAAGAGCAAGAGAGGGGAGTCAAATAAAACATAATTATATAAATGTAAATATACAAGTCAAAATAAAATAGAAAAATAAGTAATAAAATCTGGATTTATTAATTTACAACTAAATATTGTGCTTTTTCTGATCTGTAATATAATGTAGTTTCTAGAGATGTAACGATGTACAAGACTCACAAAACGATATCGTCATGTATGAACCTCACAATATTGTGATATCGTATCATCATCATCATCATCATCATCATCATCATCATCATCATCATCATCTTTATTCCGGACTCATGGTCCATTTAAAAAACAGACAAGGACAGTGACAACACAAAACAATAAACATTCATGTTTTTAAAAGACGACCACACCAGTGTCTCCACATGTTGGACTGATACCTTATTGCACTGAATCTCAAATTTGTGATTGACATTATTGTTTCAGTGTCTGATTTGTTGAGTCTGCAGATAAAACTGTACATTAAAGTTCTTAGTGCAGCTTGCAGAGTGTTCACTCAAGCAGAAACTAATATTTCAGTCGCACTCGTCCATCGTGGCTCCTCAAAAGCTCCGTAAAGCGTCACTGTAAACACCTGCAGTCTTTGCAAACTGGCTTTTTTATAATTAGTCCAGAGGTGAACTGTGTACAACGGTGAACAATATGATTTAAACAATAACAACTTTACATCATTTGTACAAGAACCAAACCTACACATAACAGTATTTGCCTGAGCAGAGAGCGTCCTCCACTGTCTGTACACATCATCATCATCTGTCATGTCCGCACTGATGATCTGCCCCAGATATTTAATTTTTATTGTAACAGACAACACAACATTTGACAGGCAAAAGTCAGGAAATCTCATGTGCTTATCGTCTTTGGTCCTACAGATCATGACCAGACTCTTCGGTGCATTATACTTTAGATCATGCTCCACACTATGAGCTGAACACATGTTGAGTAGCTGCTGGAGACCAGAGGTGCTCGGACTGAAAATAACCAAATCATCTGCATACATCGTCAAAGTTCTCTCACATTAATATCGTGGACCATCACAATATATCGAATCACAAGTCTCTTTTTTCCTTTTAATGAATACAAAAGTTGCAATTAAAACAAGAGTTTTTCAGTTACAAAATTCAAATTCCATGGCCTTATGACCATTGGAAAATAGTTCTAAACCCCTCTATCCCCCTCTCATTCAAAAGGGAAGTTTGCAAGGGGCTTGTCACTGAGCTGTGCTCTCAGGAGCTCCTTGAATTCGCCCATTGTTCCAGAGTGTGAAACACAGTCAGGAGGATTCAATACTGAGCCTAATATTGAGCCTCCTAGTGGCCAGAGTGAGACATGACCTCTGCATGATGACAGCGCAGGGCAGGGTCCCATCAGGAAACACTGAGGTGGCCCGCCGTACATCAGAAGGCAGAACTTTCTGTGTGGGCTGGTACCGTCCCAGAGCTGCTGGTGAAAGTCTGTGGTACAGTTTAAATGCAAAACATGCCAGTGCAAAATTGCGTCTGGTTTCCAGTGTGGTCAGTCCAAGTGCTGTATAGTGCTCTGGTGTTATATGGGCACAATACGGCAGATGGAGAATGAATGAAGAGTTACGGTGCAGCAACAGCTAAAAAAAACACAGAGGGAACTACATAGACCATGATCCTTTGCTCCATTTTAGTGCAGGCGACAAGAAGAAATAACAGTTCTAACACTTTTAACTCTTAGTTCTTTGGATTTCTTTAAAAGAGGAAAAATTGGCATATTCGCAGTTTTGTTTTTGCCTCCATAAAATATCTCAATAAATGTCGTACCGTGAGATGTACATCATGAAAATATGGTACTGTGAGTTTTAAGTATCTTTACTTTGCTTAATTCCTACTCAAGTAAAAGTAAAAGTAACCACCTAAAAATCTGCTTGAGTAAAGTAAAAAAAAATCTTTGTTTAAAATTTTATTTGAGTAAAATGACTTAGTTACTTTCAGTTATTTGATGTAAAAAAGTACAAAATCGAGCTTAAGTTGTTTGAATCGATTTTTAGGTAATACAGACAAACTTTGTACATTTTAAAGACAACTGAGTTCACGAACATTTACTGTTTTAACATTTGTATTATTATGTTATTCCTTATTTGTGTTTTGAACGTAAATATCTGTCCCAGGTTTGGCCAGTGGTTTCCTTCTCTTTTTTTCTCGAGAATTATTCAATGCACCTTCTTCTTGAATATCGACCATGACGACCTCGACCTGCGGCCAAGATAAACCGACGGTTCTGAACAGTGACTGTCAGGGATGTAACAATAACCGAAATATCGTGATGTCATATCGTCAAAGTTCTCACAATAACATCGTGGACCATCACAATATATCGATTTACAAGTCTCTTTTCTTAAATGAAGAGTTTTGGTGCAGCAATATCTAAAAAAAAAGACATAGAGAACTACATAGACCATGATCCTTTGCTCCATTTCAGTGCAGACGACAAGAAGAAATAACAGTTCTAACACTTTTAACTCTTAGTTCTTTGGATTTTTTTTAAAAAAAAAAGGAAAAAGTGGCATATTCGCGGTTCTGTTCGCCTCCACAAAATATTACAATAAATATCGTACCATCAGATGTATATCGTGAAAATATCGTATCGTGATATTTGGATATTGTTACATCACTAATCAACATATCTCCAACATATTCGTGAGCTTTCCCACAATATCGCAGTAAATATCGTACTGTGAGGTTCATACCATGATGATATCGTATCATGAGACTTGGATATCGTTACATCTCTGATATCGTCCCATTCCTTGTAAAAAAAAAAAATAACTGCTACTCACTAGTGTCCTGTGCATCTGTCCACAGGAGGAGCCCACTCTTTCTTGTGATGATGTTTACGGCAACATCAGCTCCCACTGTTTTGTAAAGTGGAAATAAGCACACTTGTTTCTTTTATTTAAGTTTAGATCAGGGGTGTCAAACATACGGCCCGGGGGCTGGATTCGACCCTCCAAGACCTTTAATCTGGCCCTCAGCTGATTTTCTACTAAAATATTTTAATGATATTTTCTATTAAAATCTTGTTAATTTTCTGTGGTGTTTATCACAGCAGCGTCTCCAGCGTCTCTGTACGTGGCCCCTCCCACCAGAGCAGCACAAATGAAGACTTGTCTCTTTCCAAACGCTCTTAAAGGACCAGTCTCAAATACAAAGTAGTTAAAAAACTGAGGCACTCAAAAAGCACAAAATAATTAAAAGTCTTTAATAGCACATGGCAGATAAAGTTAACATTTCGGCCCTTCGGCTTCATCAGGGCAACTCCAGATGGTTATCACAGTGCAAATTTAAAGTCATAGGTGAAGGTCACATGTTCACAGTGGGCTGGTCCACAGTCCCCTGGTGCATGATGGGACATGTAGGCTGAACAGATTTTAGTGACAAGCTATTTAAGTTCCAATATAATACAAGACATAAATAGTACAAATCCCAACAACCAATACATAGAAAAATACACAGTATAAAAACACATAGTATAAAAAGATACATAGTATAAGAATATATGTAGTGCAAAAATTCAAAAGTATTACAGATATAACTATAATTTGTATATATATACAATATATGTAATATATTAAAGGGTCAGAGATGTAAAACAGAAATTGATCACTCATTTAAAGCTTGTGGTTTTAAAGGAAGAGGGAGAAATGTAGCTCTCCATTAAATCCTGGAAACTGTGCAGCCTTGAGAGTGTAGATCCAGCAGGACTCTCTCTGTAATCATTTTTTCAGTCTCCTCCTCTTATTGTTACTTTAATATGTTCAATAGCACATAGATTTTCAGGCTTTTCCAGCTGCCATGGCTGACTTCTTTGTAATGCACGGCCATAGGATACAGGGGGTTACACGTCCTTACAGCCTGTTTGTGTTCAGTCTGGTTTTCAGTTTGCGTTTTGTTCGGCCTGTGTAAAAACGACCACATGGGCATTCAAGTCTGTACACTACATAAGTGGTGTTACAATTAATGAATGTCCTAATATCAAACGCTCTTAAAGGACGATCGTTTTGACTGTTGACCGTGACACCCTCATCAGAAAAATGTCCAACATGAGAAAAGTGGAGCCGAGTGCAGGATTTTACAACAAAAATGGACTTATTCCTGTTTGCAAACAAGTTCATGTTAAAACATTGTGTTGAAATTGTATTTTTTCTTAAAGTTTCAGGTTGTTCATAATATTATAATATTTTGTAAAAGAAAGAGTTCATCAATTAAAAAAGATTTCTGTTATAGATTTGTGTTTCTCTGCACAAATATTTGAACTTATTGATATTTTTGGGGGATACCGTATTTTCCGCACTATTAGGAGCTCTGGATTATAAGGTGCATTGTCATTAAATGGTCTATTTTTGAACTTTTTTCATAAATAAACTGCGTGGGACTTTAAATGAAACCCAACAGTGTGATGGGTGAGTGGTTTTGTTTGTTTGTGGTGTTCACGGTGACTCTGGGCTTTGTTCAGTTGTGGCGTGTAGGGAGGGTGTGTCTGGGACCAACGGATTGTCGGCGTGTTCACAGTGACTCAGTTGTTCAGTTGTGTCTAGAAGTGGCACATTGCACTCGCTTTTTCGGTTCGTTCCTCTGTTCCGTTCCTCGTCGGCGTGGAGTGATGAGTGTGTCTGTGGGTGTGTTTCGCTGTGTGGTCGCTGTCTGCTCCGTGTGTGTTTGTGTGTTCTGTGGGTGGTGTGTTTGTAGTTTACTGAAGTCGTGCTGGGACACCTGAGTGGATTCGTGTATGGGGCGCTCTGGATTGTGTGGCGCACAGTCATTTTTTGATGAGGTTAGAGGCTTAAGAACGCGTCTAATAGCCCGGAAAATACGGTATATGCCATGAGTTTTTTTGATCTGGACCATTTGGGATCAAAGTCGGTTGGATACAGCCACCGGACCAAAATGAGTCTGACACCCCTGGTTTAGATCAATATTGTGATTTAAAAATGTGAAAATGATAACAATGATTGTCAAACATTGCAGATTATAACTGTAAAACAGACACAAGCACAAGGTTTAGTCTATTTATTTAATTATCTTGGGAGGGAACTTCTTGGTGAGAAACTTTTGAGAATAACTGTCTACTGCTCTATTTAACTCTCTGAACCTTCCTCCTCCTCTTCCTCCTCCTCTTCCTCTTCGTCCTCGGTCAGTCCCGCGGCGGCGTGCTCGTGGACCCCGGCGCCCGACAGCAGCGTCTGGAGCAGATCCGGGAGAAGATGGCGGCGCGTTCGGAGCTCCTGTCCCGCCCCCAGCGCTTCAACAGCAGCCGAGCCCTGACGCGCAGAGAGATGGAGATCGAGCGGGCGCTGTACCAGGGCAACGAGCGCCAGGGCTTCCTCTCTGCCCTCTACCACAGGGGTAACAGGAGGGGGGGACGGGGGGACGCTGCATGTATGTCTACGGGAGAATGTTCAGGGGTAACGCTGTAAAATACTCACGAGGTGCACGGTGTAACTTTTTTTCCGCTGGCGGGTTCGTCAAACACTTTCCTCCGTTGAGATGTTAGTGCTTTATCTGGAATGTTCCACAGTGTGACATTAAACCGTTCTGTTTCCGCGGAGACCAAACCAGACCAAGTTACAGGTCAGATCTGTGGAGAGGCGACCCCACTCACAGTCAGAATGTCTGTTTTGTCTAAGTATTTTTGAGCTGTAAATCCTGTTTGTAAGTCCTGGTTCAGTCCTGGTTCAGTCCTGGTTCAGTCCCGGTTCAGTCCCGGTTCAGTCTCGGTTTAGTCTTGGTTCAGTCCCAGTTTAGTCCTGGTTCAGTCCTGGTTTAGACCTGGTTTAGTCCTGGTTTAGTCCTGGTTTAGTCCTGGTTTAGTCCTGGTTCAGTCCTGGTTTAGTCCTGGTTCAGTCCTGGTTCAGTCCTGGTTTCGTGCTGATTTAGTTTTGGTGTAATCTTGGTTTAATTCTGGTCTAGTCCTGATTCTGGTCTCTGGGTCTTGGTCTGGTCTTGGTCTTGTCCTGTTTCAGTCCTGGTTTAGTCCTGATTCAGTTCTGACCAAACCAGACGAAGTTAATTCAAGTCAGATCTGTGAAGAGGCGACCCCGCTCACAGTCAGAACCAGGACTAAACCAGGACTAAACCAGGTCTAAACCAGGTCTAAACCAGGTCTAAACCAGGACTAAACCAGGACTAAACCAGGACTAAACCAGGTCTAAACCAGGTCTAAACCAGGTCTAAACCAGGTCTAAACCAGGACTGAACCAGGACTAAACCAGGTCTAAACCAGGTCTAATCTCCAGAAAAGCTGAAATGATCCAGATGATTCTAGTGAAGGTGTGTGGAGTTTAAAACATATTAAAACATAAATCAGAAAATAGCGTAATATCAATCCTTTTAATATATTTTTGAAAGTGTACAGACATCTCAAATGAATAAACTTTTACTTTAATTAACTTTTTTTTTTTTTCTATTTCAGATGTTACAGATCCTGACCAGCAGGTGTCGACATCGAGCCGCTCCATCGACTCCGTTTACAGGGAGGTTCTGGAAGAAGATCGATTATCAACTTTGAAACGAAACAAAAACGAAGAAAAACTGAAGGAACAAACTGAAACAGAAACCGACCAATCACGAACTCCGGAGCAATCACAAACCGAGCGAATCGACCAATCAGAGGAGCCCGAGCCCAGAGATGGCCAATCAGAAGAGTCCAGACGAGAAGAACCGCTCCAGTCGGCTCCGGTGACGTCGATCGATCTGAAACAGCCCATCAGCAGCCTCCGAGCGGCGTCGCACGTCCCCGTCACGGTCAGAGGCGACGTGGAGGTGATTTCAGAAGAAGATATTTTATCGACCAGAGATTCAGACGAAACGATACGGAACATTCCAAGATTTAAGAATTACCAACCGGGAAAACCGTCCAAGGTAAAACACAAGAGTGGAAATGTTTATTAACCAGGACTAAACCAGGAATAAACCAGGTCTAAACCAGGTCTAAACCAGGTCTAAACCAGGTCTAAACCAGGACTAAACCAGGACTGAACCAGGTCTGAACCAGGACTGAAACTAAACCAGGTCTAAACCAAGACTGAACCAGGACTGAACCAGGACTGAACCAGGTCTAAACCAGGACTAAAATTCACTCTCTATAAATGGGCTTTTATTATTTTTACACACAGATATTGACATAAAAGAATTTATTTGTCCAAACTGCCCATTTTTGAGATTTCGTGTGATTCAAGTTAAAAAGTGAAAAAATGCATAGCACACTCAAATGTCCAAAAGCTTTTTTTTTTTTTTTTTTCTCTCTTTTTACTTTATTGATCCATAAGGGAAATGCTTTGGACATGGGAGTTCACACATCACAATATAATAAAACAAAAGAACAAAACAGAACAAAGAGGAAAAAAAATTAAACAAAAAAATAATTCTAAATGAGTAGCAAAAAAAGAGCAAGAGACACACAACAAATAAGGCATACTTATATAAAGTATGTAATGTACAAGTCAAAATAAAATTATATTAGTCTGTCTACAAATCCAAAGCTCAAAACGCTCTGCTCCACCTTGTGATGTCATGAAGTGGTAGTTTTCAAGTTGAACAGCTCCTTTTATGCTTTAGTTCAGTAGAGATCGGTGATTCCAGAAGTGCTGAAATGATCCAAATGATTCTAGTGAAGGTGTGTGACGTTTAAAAACGCAGTGGAGCACTTTCTGTATTACTGCATGACATCACAAGGTGGAACAGAGTGTTTTTTTCTGTTTGAGAGAAAAGCTCAGCCTAAACATGCAGGTTTGTGTGTTAAACATGTGTGAATGAAAGAAAAGAAACACAACTCCAGGTGTGTTTGTGACGAGGAAACGACATTAGAACACATCAGAAAAGAATGTCATTTAAAAAAAAACACAGTGCAGTTGTAAATATTTCTTGTATTTTTTTGTATCTTTCATGTTTCTTGAAGGTGCTGTGTGTGAAGAACTTGTCTGCACAGGCGACCGTGGCCCAGCTGGTGGCGCTGTTCTCCAGGTTTGAGCAGAGCGGAGGAGGAGGAGGCGTCGTTTACAAACTGCTCACGGGACGATTAAAGGGACAGGCCTTCATCACTCTGCCCGGTCAGTGAGCAACGCACTTTAAAACCACACAAATCACACAAAATCTGCTTTTATTTTGATTTGATTTTACTGTATGTGTGAGTTTTTCACTACCTCCTGTCTCCGCCCACGTGTTGTTATGAAAATGTTAACTCCAGGACATTTATGTAGGGTCCAGAAAAGCATTATTTTTTTATCTATATTGCAGTTTTACACACTTGAAACTAAATTATTGATTGATTCATTCATTCATTTTTACTTTGAGTTTGTGCCAAGAGAGAAACAATAATCATAAACAACTACACACACTCATTATAAACAACAGAAAAACACACTCAGCAAATAAATCACATACTATGCATACTTAATCAATTTAGACCAACTTTATTGATCCATGAGGGAAATTATTTGGACAAAAGAGCTCACAAATCACAATATAATATAATATAATAACAAAGAGTAAAAATATAAATGGTAATAATAAATTCTAAATAAGTAATAAAAAAGAGCAAGAGATTAAGTGTCAAATAAAACATAATTATATAAATACAAATGTACTAGTAAAAATAAAGTAGAAATTTAAGTAATAAATATAAAAATCGAAATATAAGTAATAAAAATAAATTATAAAAATCTAAAATAAAATATAAAGATAAGTAATTAAAAATATAAAGCTAAGTAATAATAATAAATTATAAAAATCAAAAATTAAATGTAAATATAAGTAATAAATATAAAAATTTAAAGATAAGTAATAAAATAAATATATAAAAATCCAAAATAAAAGATAAAAATAAGTAATAAAATATTAAAACTGAAAGATAAGTAATAAAATAAATTATAAAAATCTAAAATTAAATATACAGATAAGTAATAAAATATAAAAAATTTAAAGATAATTAATAAAATAAATTATAAAAAATCTAAAATAAAATATAAAGATAAGTAATAAAATAAAAAGAAAACCGTTGCAGTTTAAAAATAATTATGTATATAAGACAAAAAACTTAGAAAAAAAATAAAAAATTGTAACTGATTGTAAACTCTAGTCTCTTATATTACACAAAACAGACTCTTGTGATGCTTTAAGTCAAGTTATAATGTTGTTACCTCGTCAAAAACAAACCTCACACATGTTTGAGTTACTCTTTAAAGCTCAAAATGCTCTGTTCCACCTTGTGATGTCATGAAGCGATAGTTTCAAGTGAACAGCTCCTTTAACCTTTTAGTTCAGTAAAGATTGACAATTTCTGGTCTGAAATGATCCAGATGATTCGAGTGAAGGTGTGTTGAAGTTGTGTGTGAAGTTTAAAAACACAGTGGAGCACTTCCTGTATCACCGCATGACATCACGAGGTGGTTTGAGAGAAGAACTGAACCTAAATCTGCAGGATTTGTGTTTTAAACATGTGTGAACGAACCAAAACACAACTCCAGCTCAGTTTGTGACGAGGAAACGACATTAGAAGGCAGAAAACAGAAAAGAGCCTCATATTGGTCCTTTTAAAAACACTCGTGATGCTTTTCGTTTTGTTGTTTCGCAGACGTTGAAGCGGCACAAAAAGCCCTCGAGTTGATCCACGGATACCGGTTGCTGGGGAAACCGCTGGTCGTGGAGTTTGGGCGAGAGAAACACGACTCGACTCAACTGCAGAATCACGAAAGAGACTGAAAATATCAACACAAACGGACTTTTTATTAAACTGTAAATGTGGAAAACACTTTTTATTTAACAGCTTTTATATTTATATTGATTTAAGTTGTTTTGACTTGGCTTATATTACGCAGAAATGACTCTTTTGAGCTTTAAAGGTGCACTATGTAACTTTTCACCTTCTCTGTTCTATGTTTATATCATTGCTCTGCCCGGAATGTTCCACAGTGTGACATTAAACAGCTCTACTTTACATTTATTCAATTACAGGTCATTTTTGAGCTTAAAAATACCTCGAAAAACAACATTGTGACTGTGAGCGGGGTCGCCTCTCCACAGATCTGACCTGTAACTTGGTCCGGTTTGGTCTCCGTGAAGATAAGTTTGAATGTTGTTACTGCCTCAAAATAAAATACAGTAACAGTTTCTATTTTAAAGCACTGAAAGTTCTGTTCTCCTTCAGGATTTACACGCATCACCAATTTCAGACGTCTGCAATTCATACTGGGAAGGATTTTCCAAAAAAGTGAGTCTCAAACCTCCATGTGTGTCTATTGTCAAAGTCTTTTGAACCATATCACTTTTGTTTCAGGTTCTGATATTGTCATATTTTAGTTTTGGGATTCGGACATCGTAATTGTTGTGGTTGTTGGATCCTAACAGCAGAAAACAACTCGAGAAATGTGTTTGTGAACTTCATAAATGCAAAAGTGAATCAGATGTGTGTGACTCAAACCTCTGTTCAAACTGTTTCTCTTCCCAACGGAATTGAAAAATAGTGAAAGGTGAAGGTGATGGGCAGGACTGATCCACAGGAAGAACCAAAAAGGAAACATTTGTCTGACTAAGAAATCATCCTGAGTTTACAGAGAACATTTTGTATGTGGAGCGACAACAAAACAAAATCCCGTTTGTTAAGTGAGAGGAGCAGAAGACAAACAGACTGAGCTGCACTTTCTTGTTCTTGTGGTTTTACAGAAACATCACGTCTTGGTCTCTTTGCAGTGGAAGGTGTTTCTTGGTGAACAGCTGGAGCCTTTCACTTTGGCGTCGACTTTTTAAATTCGTAACCGAGGTTGAGTGAGAGATCGGGGTTTTGTTTTGTTGGTTCTTCCTGTGGATCAATCCTGCTCATCACCTTCACCTTTCACTATTTTTCAGTTCCGTTGGGAAGAGAAACAGTTTGAACGGAGGTTTGAGTCACACACATCTGATTCACTTTTGCATTTATGAAGTTCACAAACACATTTCTCGAGCCGTTTTCCGCTGTTTGGATCCAACAACCACAACAATTAACGATGTCCGAATCCCAAAACTAAAATATGACCAGTGTTGGGGAGTAACAGATTACATGTACTGGAGTTACGTAATCAGAGTATAAATTATGAGTAACTGTATTCAGTTACATTTACTGTTTCAGTGAGTGGTAATTGGATTACAGTTACTTTGTTAAAAGAAATGGATTACAGGGCAGTATTTTCCTGTTTTACATTTTGGGCTAAACCAGGACTAAAACCTGGACTAAACCAGAACTAAAACCAGGACTAAAACCAGGTCTAAACCAGAACTAAACCAGGTCTAAACCAGGACTAAACCAGGTCTAAACCAGGTCTAAACCAGGACTAAACCAGGTCTAAACCAGGTCTAAACCAGGTCTAAACCAGGACTAAACCAGGTCTAAACCAGGTCTAAACCAGGACTAAACCAGGACTAAACTAATACAATATGACACTAACAGTAGGTGGACATAATTTAAAGCAGCACTGATCTCATATAAAAATCATTTCTCTATCAATAATATTTTTAATCTGGTCAAGTAAAGACTGAACAAACGAGAAGTTTCAGGATGTGGTTGCTTCTTTCATGAAGTTTTCAAAAGCCTGACAATATCAAGTAATCCAAAGCATTCAGATTACATTACTCACTTTAAGTAATTTAATGGATTACGTTACAAACTACATTTTGAGGTATGTAATCTGTAATCTGTAGGGGAATACATTTTAAAAGTAAACTTCCCAACACTGAATATGACAATATCAGAACCAGAAACAAAAGTGATATGGTTCAAAAGACTTGAAAAGATCGACTTTGTCAACAGACACATCCCACTGGGAAAACAAACATGGAGGTTTGATGCTCACTTTTTCGGAAAATCCTCCCAGTATGAATTGTGCGATGACTGGACGTCTGAAATCTGTGATGCATGTAGTATTATCGTCACTCTCCTCCTGACTGTCTTTATTTCAAAAACAGTGATGCAGATCAACTTGTCCTGCTCCTTCTATTCAGTGTGCGTCCCCAGAGCTTGTTTCTATGCCTGGAATGTTCCACAGTGTGACTTTAAACATCTCTACTTTACATTTATTCAATAACATTTGGTTTTACAGCTCAAAAATCCCTAGAAAAACAAACATTCTGACTGTGAGCGGCGTCGCCTCTCCACAGATCTGACCTCTAACTTGGTCCGGTTTGATCTCCTCCACCAGAAAAGTTACACATTGCGCCTTAAACCAGTTCTGTGTTGATTGGCAGGGTGGAAAGTGTCTTGCTGAGGGGCACAAAGGCACAGTATGAGGACACGCTGAAGAACTTTCTCCAGCTCCTCGTTTGAAGATCAGTTTTACAGTAGATTTTTTTTATTTGTATGAAACTTGAACCTCCGCCAAGACAATTACAGACAGTTTTTTTGAGGTATTATTAAAAATATGATCTGGATTCTCGCAAAAATATCAACGCTTTTGTTGTTGGTGTCGCCTCCCACTTTTTAAATAAGCTCCAGGTTCGACCCTCGACCCGGCGCAGTATCAGTTTCAGCTCAGTATCGCTCTCACGTTTTCATAAAAAGTTTTTATTTGAGCGTTTATTGATTCGTTTGGCCTTCTCCGCTCTCGCTGTTTGTTCTGGGTCACGCTCTCTCCTCGTTTTCCCATCATGCACCGCGGTCACGTCCCTCAGACCTCACAGGCTCAAGGGCGTTTGGAGAGAAGAGGAATTCGAACAACGCAGCGCAACCACGTCCTGTCAGCAATAGTCGGACTTTCATAGTTCCTGGTCTGTGACTGATCCAAGAAATCAGTAAGATTTCAGAACTATTGTGTCATGGATGTTCCAAAACCCACACTGTACTTGTTTATGTGCAGAAGATACAATGTGAAAAGAGTTATTTTACATCAGATGGGCCCTTTAATGACGTCATTATTACTATAAACTTTATTAGGTGATATCAGCTCTTTTTCTTGCTGGCTCCATTGCAAAAAAAAAAGAATCTCAAATAGAATGAACCAAACTCACAATAACCCAAAACCACAAAATGTTTTGGGTGAATCCATTGCATTTCTTTGGCCCTTATGTTTCGAATCGCCAAATCCACAAACCACTTCCTGAATCAGTCACGTGGTTCGGGCGGTTCACGAGGCTTCGAACGTCACCACAAATGTCACCGATACAAACCTCGATACACTTCAACAAAGACTTCCTGGATTACTCGACACACACTTCCAGTCCTTGACACAGATGACACATCACTACCTTATAGAACAGTGTTCTAGAACTGTCAAACACTGCAAAGCGTTTGACGAACCCTCCACCGAAAACGTTACACAATGCACCATTAAAGTTTGTGTAATATAGAACTGTACCTTTGTTTGACGTTTGCTTTCAGGGTTTGTCCCCTGAGCAAAGTTATAGGCTGAAACACATCGGGACTTTGTAAGTTTGTCCTTTAAGACATGCTGTAAAACAATAAAGGCATTTTATTTGAATCAGTGACTGCCTTGGGTTTTTTGCATCTTTAAATTGACTTCCCTTCCTCAAAAGCTGTTTTCAGGCCGGTCAGAACTGTGCTGGTTCCTGCACCAGTTCCACTGGGAACTAAAGTTCTCACCAGTGAACGACTCATGTTCAAACCATTTATGTGAACCCATGACACGACATTGACAGAGGGTTTGGATTTACCACCAAATAAAAACAAGGCCTTACAAAAACGGAAGAAATAACAATCATGGATCACATCATCAACACCAGTGAGTATTTGTATTATATACAAGTCATTCTTTATGTGCTGAGCTCTGACACAACATGGATCTGCTGTGGAGAAGACGACAGCGACGCCCAGTACAAAGATGTAATTTTATCAAGCGAACACGGACACATGCAGCACCAACAGGACGTAATAGTTTCTGTAGACTTAAAACTTTTAATTTCATATGTGAGAGTTTCAGTTGCTTTTTGTTTGTTTATTTTACCGTGTGTGACTGGGATGAATGTGCTGTGTTGTCACTTAGAAAAAATGAGTTTTACTTGGTTCCTGAACGCTCTGATTTGTGCCGTGAACATGAGTTGGTTCAAGATTAGATGCGGGAACCGGCACCAGTACAGCTCTCTGTCCACCTGAAAACACCGAAAGAGCAACACTGTTCTACCTGCTGTGTATTTTCCTCTGGAGGTAGAGGAAATGCTCCTTTTGAAACTTTTTTAGACTTCCTTTGTGTTGGCCTATCGAACATATATTTATTTTATTGCTCTATTTATTGTTCGTGCTGTTATTTTTGTTGGCATCAGTTTAAAGAGAACAACAAAAATCTGACATTTAACATAAATACAAATTCCTAATAAATTACCTCTAACTTGGATTTTAAATGTTCTGACCTGGTTTTTAGTCTTGATTTTTTGCATTTATTTCAAGCAGAACCGCATACGAACTAAATCTAGGAATATAAAACCACAGAGTGTATATTTACACCCCAAAGTTGAACAAAACTACAGTGTAATTAGATAAAACACATACGACATTTCTTAGCGTTAAAAACACAAACACTTTAAGTTTTAGATCATATAAGAACATTTATTTAAAAACACATCAGACTTACATTGTGTTTAAACTGTGCTTATTATTAAACTCATCATCAAGAACATCTTAAACTCTGTGAAAACAAATTAAAACGACTCAAAAACTCAAACTGTGTAAACTCAAAAAACAAAAGAAAGAATCCTTGAAACAAAAACAGTACAAAACAAAACTGAGACAAACGACAAAAACTGCTGAGGTGCAAAAGTTTAGAAGATTTTTGTCGAATGTCAAAACGCTCTTTGAATATAAAAGTCTACAAAAACACACAGTCAAACAAAAGATGCAGAAATAAACACGATTCTGTGATTAAAACAAACACGTTCTGTTTATTTTATGAACTTTGATTTGTAAAAATAAAACGATAGTGAAAATTTTTTGACAAACAAGTCCACGAGAAAAATACACCAACTTTGAAAACAAATTCATATTTGATCGCAATCTGTGTATAATTTGTTTATTCATTTTTCACAATAAAATGAAAAATAAGAAAATGAAAAAAATATTTTCGTCATTATTTGTCTCCAAAACCAAAATGAAAAAACAGATAACGACTGTTTCCCGTTTCCATGACTGAAACTGTGATGCCGGACTGAACCAGGACTAAACCGGGACTGAGACTGGGACCAGATGGGGCTTAGACCAGGACTGAGACCAGGACTGAGACCAGTTCTGTCCTGGTTCAGTCCGGCATCACAGTTTAAATCACGGAAATGGGAAATGGTCATTATCTGTTTTTTCCATTTTTCATTTAAACACAAAATCAAAAACTGAAAAAAACAAATCATTATCTGTTTTTTCATTTTGGTTTTGGGGACAAATAATGAAGAAAATAGTTGTTTTTTCATCTTCTTATTTTTGGTTTTATTTTGAAAAACAAAGAACGAATGATACGCGGGGTCCATCTAGATTTTCCATCTTTGGAAACAGACAAGTCTTCATTTGTGCTGCTCTGGTGGGAGGGGCCACGTACAGAGACGCTGGAGACGCTGCTGTGATAAACACCACAGAAAATTAACAAGATTTTAATAGAAAATATAATTCAAATATTTCAGTAGAAAATCAGCCGAGGGCCAGATTAAAGGTCTTGGAGGGCCGGATCTGGCCCCCGGGCCGTATGTTTGACACCCCTGGTCTATGGTGACCAGATTTTCAAAATAAAAAACTGGGACAAAGTGAGGAAACAGAAATGGCACGACGTCCTGGTCTCAAACGTACCCGGTGATGTCATACCCCGTGTTCTTCTTGTTCCGTGGTGCGTTCTGATTGGTCGACTGGGAGCTTTCGCTGGCGCTCCTCACCAGCGCCTGCAGCGTCTGCCCTCGGCCGCTCGGGTTCAGTCCTCCCGGCTGTGAAGTTGGATTTCTGTACGTTTGTGAAGTCATTCTGGTCCCCGTTCCCGTCATGGCGCCCCCTACGGGATAAGGATACCCCGGGCCGTTCCTTCTTCCTCGTCCGTTTTGCTCTTCGCAGCAAGACGCCGCCAGCAAACCGCCGCCGAGCATCGTAACCAACGCCGAAGCCAAGCCGACGTAAAGGCACTCCCCGATCTCAAATTTCATACTTTGCGGCACGTTGTGTTGGTAAAACGTTTGCACGACTTCGTGAGTCGTCCACGCTACGGGAATCAGCGCTAAAAATCCCGACGCTAAGAACAGACCGCCTCCTGTCCCAGCGACGCGACTTTTCACCGCTCCAGATCCGTCCAAACAAACCGTGCACTGCATCCCCACGGACGATATCGCGATGGCGAGTACGGAGAGCACCAGAGCGATGACCATGAGCGCCCGCGAGGCCTGCAGGTCGGCGGGGAGAGCCAGCATGGAGTTGTACGTTTCGCACTGGAAGGCCCCGGTGCTCTGGTAAACACACTCCATCCAGAGGCCGCGCATGTTGGCCACGGCCGTCACGATGTTGGGTCCGATGTGAGCGGAGATCTGCCAGTACGGAAGGACTGTGGCCACCATCGTCCCCACGGTCCCCAACAAACCCAAGAAGAACCCCATCAGCTCCAGGGCCATGGACGCCATCGCTGCAGCTGCGGAAAAAAACGAGAGATTAGTTTAAGTTTGACTGTTTTGGTCACATTTTTATACAGGAACTTTTCCACCTTCAAGGCTCAAATTTTTACAACAAGGAAACACTCACACATTCATACATCAGCGTGTCAGTGGATCTGATCGCTCAACCAATGATCGTTTGATGTTGAGAGCAAGATTCAAACCGCCAACTTTCGGATCAGTGAGCAAATGCTTTTTGGAAATCATATTGCAATTTAACACCGAGGCTTGTAGTTAAAGGAGTGAATTTGGAGCCAGGTTCTATATTAGAAATAGGAGCTGATTTATGGACAAAATAGTGAAATAAAAACGTCGGTATCATGTATCAAAATATCGATATATCATATTGTTTAATGTGATGATACTGTATATCACCAAGTATTTTTTTGTATATTTTGCTAAATTATTTTGTTGCAGTTACAGTTTTTTTGTTTGTTCACAGGAAGGAAACTCGTTTATGCAACACATTTGACATTTTCACTGTTCTGATGATTTAAATGAACTTTGGAGAGGAGAAAATTCAGTTTGTCGACTGGACAAAAGTGAGTTTGGTTGAAGATGTTTCTCAGCTCATCCAAGCTGCTTCTTCAGTTCTGGTCAGACACTGGTGGACACTTCCTTATATCTGTCTGCAGGAGGAGCTAACTACACTGAAACTACTCTGAAACTAACACACACACTTGTTTACAGTTTGTGTTAGTTCGTTGGGCCTGTTGACCTGTACAGGGTGTGGGGGTCTAATTAACAGAACTGTTCATGGCCATAATGGAGCTTCCACACCTCTGGACCTGACCTGACTACACCTGTTGTTCTCTTGTTTGTTTTGATTTAGGATGGAGTTGTAAATAGGAGATAGATGGTGTCTGAGTCCTCCATCCTTTAAAGAAGGATTCTTTTTCTTAACAAAAATGGCTTCTTTCACTCCCCTGAACTTTGCAAAAGAAATCTTTTAGTATCACAGCCATGATTTAGCCATCATTTTTTATTGAACCATATCAAATTGATTTGAAATCTGTCATATTGAATCAAAAGTGCAATGTATCGAGATGTGTATCGTACTGAAAAGTTCTGAATGAACCAGCCCAGGACTCATCTGTTATTTGTCTGTATGGAGTTCAACAGGGACCAGCTCCAGGTCCAGAAGTAAATATCTCATAAATTTTCCCCATAGACCAGGGGTGTTCACACTTTTTCATCATGTGAGCTACTTACAAAATGACCAAGTCATAAAGATCGACCTAATACAAAGCCAAGCAAACTGCACTGAAACACTCTGTGCCCCTTTTTTGGACCCTCACCCACAGTTTGAGAACCTCTTCTTTAAGAGAACTTCCTCTGGCACTTTACACAAAACTGTGAAAAAAGTGAAGGAAGATTTTTAAACCTGTTTTTTAAAGTTCCAAACTGGAGTTACATTCTTTTCTGGTTTTGCAGTGATATTTACCAGCCTCTGCACATTTACCAAACCAAACACACATCGTGACAAACACAGATGCATTTGTCACTTTTGTTAGACAAACTTCAGCCAAATGTGGCAGTAGGTCTGTTCTGTAGATCCGCTCTATGCTGTAGACCTGCTTTGTGCCAACACTGGAACACAAATTTAGACTGGTTTTTGCTTCACGTTTGGTCTTGCTCTTCTAATCAGCCGCACTGTGGGAGGGGCTTGTGTTCGCTGTACGCAGGAAGGAGCGAGAGCGTGAAAAGGCGAGGGGCGGCGTGCTGACGTGAGGCAGATGGACAGGTAGGATGTTTAGGAAGTTGAACCTGCCCTGTGATGCACGCTGGTACACGAGGGCACACGCTGTCGCAGACGAGCCGTGCATAGGGAGCGTGTGTGTTTGTGATGTGCCGTAGAGTCTCCGCGGGTTTCAAATGAGCGCACAGGCTGCACTGAGACGCCCCACACGCTCCTGCACCCGCTACAAGTTTATTACCAACAGCAGCGGCCGGAATGAAATATGATCACACTTGTTGAGTGTCAGACCTCGAGTGAGAGACAAGACCGAGTCCAAACACGAGTCCGAGACGAGACACGGCGATCTACCCACACGACCTTGGCGATCGACTGGTAGATCGGGATCGATGTATTGAGCACCTCTGTCATAGACTTTCCAAAAAAAAATTTTAATTAACTTAAAATAAAAGTTTGAATGCTCAAGGCAAATCAGCTATGTGTTAACTAATGACCACAAGATCTATCTATCTATCTATCTATATATATCTATATCTATATATATATATCTATATCTATATCTATATATATATAGATATATAGATATAGATATAGATAGATAGATAGATAGATAGATATAGATATAATGTGTGTGTGTTATTAATGTGGTTTTTGGACTTAAAACAAGCCTCCAACTGGAGAGAGTTCGATTGGAAAACAAAAAGAGAATGAGAGAGAATGTGGTATGGGTGGAGACCACACCCATGTCTTTTGAGATTGCCTGAAGATAAGAACATTTTGGGAATGTATCAAAAAGAAGAGTGAAGATATAATTAGATCAGATATTCCTCTTCTATTTCTGCTTGACTTATATCCCAACTCACTCACTGAGGACCAACAGTACATTTTACATGTACTTCTAATAGTGGCAAGAAAAACAGTGACCCTGAACTGGCTCAAGTCAGTCCCACCACCGATTGTTCAATGCGATGGCCACATGTACCATCTTTATTTGACTGAGCTTTTTTTATGTTTTGTTTTTTGTTTTTAAATGAGTATACCTCACCTGACTACTGTATTTAATTATCTCGACACTTGTTATTGTTTGTTCCAAAGTAAATTGCCAGTTATTTTGTACTTTTGGCAATAAAGTTCTTAAAAAACTAAATTTACTAAATAAATAAAGAGCGGGCGATTACTGGTGACCTTACATCAAAAAATTGATCAAAAAACATGGTTCATTCTGTGACTCGTATCTATACATTATATCTGTATATTATCTCATAGTAGATCATACCTTTTCTGGTGATGGGTCTGTCAAACGCTTTTCTCTGTGAAGATGTTAATTGTTTTTATCTTGAATGTTCCACATTACAACATTAAACCTTTCTTTCTATCTTCACCAAAACCAGACCAAGTTACAGGTCAGATCTGTGGAGAGGCGACCCCGCTCACAGTCAGAATGTTTGTTTTTCTAGGCATTTTTGAGCTGTAAAAACACCTGTGATTAAATAAACGTAGCAGGTGACGGACTCCCAACCAAAAAGTTACACAGTGCAGCTTTAACTCGTCTCAGGTCTGAGTGCAAATTGTTATTTTGATTGTGTGATGACAAAAATTAGAAAAGATAACAGAGAGAGAGTGGAAGTGGATTTTACTTTCAGGTAATGACCATAAATTAAGTAAATACCCTGAAATCAGTGCAGGATTACAAGTGCTCGAGGTCTGTCATTTTACTCTGAGGAAATGATCTGGACTATTGTGATTTTTATTTTAAAATTTTCTGAGTCACTCTTGTGTTTGAGCCGCGTCCTGTTTGAGCTGCGTTACACAAATAGGTCATTGTGTCATGGGTGGTGTTGGTTTTGGACGGTCGTGACTCGTGGGCCTGATTCACTCACAAATCTGAACTTTTTCAACATTAACGCCCCAAAAACCTCAACCAAGATTATTTCTACAAACAAAAAGAAAGTGCGGTTTAATCCGTGTGTCGTCCAGTCATTTGTTTTTCAAAATAAAACCAAAAATAAGAAAATGAAAAAACAACAATTTTCTTCATTATTTGTCTCCAAAACCAAAATGAAAAAATGGATAACTGACCAGACCGGGACTAAGACCAAGACCGGGACCAGACAAGGACTGAGACTGGGACTGAGACCTGGACTGAGACCTGGACTGAGACCTGGACTGAGACCAGGACTGAGGCCAGGACCAGTCCGGGGACCAGACTGGGACCAGACTGAGATCAGGACCTGACCAGGACCAGACCGGGACTGAGACCAGGATTGAGACCAGGAATAGGTCCAGGACTGAGACTGGGACTGAGAACGGGACTAGACAAGGACTGAGTCTGGGACCAGGACCGGGACTGAGACCAGGACTGAGACCAGGATTGAGACTGGGACTGAGATCGGGACCTGACCGGGACCAGACCGGGACCAAACAAGGACTGAGTCTGAGACCAGGACTGAGACTGAGACCAGAACTGAGAACAGGAATAGGTCCAGGACTGAGACTGGGACTGAGAACGGGACCAGACCAGGACTGAGACCGGGACTGAGACCAGGACTTAGAACGGGACCAGACAAGGACTGAGTCTGGGACCAGGACCGGGACTGAGACCAGGATTGAGACCAGGATTGAGACTGGGAACAGGACCAGGACTGAGACTGGGACTGAGACTGGGACCGAGACCACGATCAGACCAGGGACCAGACTGGGACTAGACCAGGACTGAAAAATGGTTTAGTCCTGGTTCAGTCCGGCATCGCAATTCAAGTCACGTAAATTGGAAAATTTCAAACGGGAAATGAAAAACCAAATCATTATCTGTTTTTTCATTTTGGTTTTGGAGACAAATGATGAAGAAAATGTTTGTTTTTTTCATTTTCTTATTTTTGGTTTTATTTTGAAAAACAAATGAACAAATGACACACGGATTCGGTTTTCTTAGAGATTCAGATGAACAGTTTTCATTTATTACTTAATCGTCATGGAAACGGAGACCAACATTTTCATCAACTGTAAAGCGTCATATGATTTGGTTCTTTTTACCCAAAGGTGCATTGTGTAACTTTTCTGGTGAAGGGTCCGTCAGATTCTTTTCCTTCGTGATTTTATTTTTATTTCTTATTACTGCGCACTTTACCAGGAAATATCCAAAAAGTAAATTCAAAAATGTTAAACCAGATCATTTCTCTCAGTGAACAGACCCAAAAACTCACTGTATTACAACAAAAATCTACATTTAAACTGTGTTCGTTTAAGCTTCTCCATCTGTTTTCAATATTATGGACAATGATGGAAGGCAACAAAAGTACAATTTAATTTAATTTAGGTATCTGTACTTTACTTTTTAATCAATTTTACAGCGTTTACTTTTTAAATTTGAGTCTCCGTCCCAACTTTGAGCAAACAAAACCCACAAAAACAGCTAGAAAATTCTTAAAATGAGCTAAATTCTTTATCAAAATCACTACATTTCATCGTTTAATTGTTTTAAATACTTTTACTTTGTCTAAAAAATGAAAAAAAAAAAAAAAAAGCTCACTGTGTTAGATTAGAAGAGAGAGGTGAGATTAAATGAGTTTTTTTTCTTCCTTTTTGGGCACATTTTCCTGTTGTTATTTTTGTTATGATGATGATTTCACTGATGTTTTATGTTCCGTTGTAAAAGATTGTACATTTCTTACTTAATAAATAATAATAAATAAATACTTTTACTCTTAAAGTACATTTTAAAACAGGTACTCACAGTGTCTGTACTTTTAATTAAAGTAAAGTGATGTAGAGAACAAAATTAGTTATTTAGGAACAATTCTCTCTGAAAACTCCCAAATTGTTACGTCATATTAAAGCTGTTTTGTGTAAATTTTCTGGTTGGGGGTCTGTCACTTGTTTGTTTCTATGGAGATGCATAGAATGTTCCGCAGTGTGACATTAAACAGCTTTATTTTACATTTAAAATCGGCTAAATTATTTATAAAAATCACGTTTCATCCTTTAATTGTTCTAAATACTTAAATTTTTTACTCTTAAAGTAAATTCTTAAACCGATACTTCAATCAATTTACTTTTTTTTTTTTTTTTTATGCAATACTTTTACTTGAGTAATCTAAAATCTGAAATATTTGTACTTTTAATTAAAGTAAAACACCGAAATTTGTCTGAAAATTCCCAAATTGTTACGTCATATTAAAGCTGCACTGTGTAATTTTTCTTGTTCTGGGGTCTGTCAACTGGTTGTTTCTATGGAGATGCTGTTACTCTGCCTGGAATGTTCCACAGTGTGACATTAAACAGCTCTACTTTACATTTAAAATCTGCAAAATTCTTTATCAAAATCACAACATTTCACCCTGAATCAGGTACAATTCTCTCTGAAAATTCCCAAATTGTTACGTCATATTAAAGCTGTTTTGTGTAAATTTTCGTGTAGAGGGTCCATAACCTGCTTGTTTCTATGGATACGTCATTGCTCTGCCTGGAATGTTCCGCAGTGTGGCATTAAACTTCTCTACTTTAGATTTCTTCAATTACAAAAGCTGATTTTATCGCTCAAAAATACCTAGAAAAACAACATTCTGACTGTGAACGGCGTCGCCTCTCCTCAGATCTGACCTGTAACTTGGTCCGGTTTGGTCTCCGTGAAGATAGAAGGCTTTAATGCCATACTGTGAGACATTCCAGAAGAAGCAATAACATCTATAATCTAAAAAAAAAATACAAATCTAGAGCAAACTTACCTCAGATTCCAGCAGGTTCTCGTCTCGTCTCGTTGTCGTTTTTTGCCGAACAGTTGCTTCTTCTTCTTCTTTTTCAGACGTTTCCCAAAAAGAAAAATCGGAATTCCTCCTCCTCCTCCTCCGTCCTCACTCCGTTATCCACATCGTTGGAAAATGCCAGGTTCGCGTCGGGTTGCACTTTTGGTAAGTCCGTTCCACTCCCTCAGCTTATGGCAAATCACCACTTTGCCGCTTCCCGACCAGGCCTATATTTTAGACTCTCGATATTCTCCGAGCGCGACGGGGAGCCTGATCTTCTTCTTATCTGGGATCCGGATTCAAACTCGCCTTTATTTTGCCGTCGTTAATCATTGTCGGACGAGCCAAAAACACAGACCTTTGCCTCTTCACAAAACACAGCGAGGAGGCAGCGGGGTCAGATCAGTGAGCAGGCCCTGAAGAGAAAATCGATAAAACGCAAGTCACATTTCAGATTTTACAAACAGTTCTCAGGTTTACAGTTCGTTATCGACAAATTACAGACAGATTATTTTTTGTTTTTGTTGTTAAAAAGTTCATGTTTCGCTATTTTTTGATCTGTTATAATGTTTTCTCGTCACAAACAAACCAGGTTTGGTTTCATTCACACGTTTAACACACAAACCCTGCAGATTTACGCCGAGTTCTTCTCTCAGACTTCTCCCAAATGGTCTGTTCCACCTTGTGATGTCATGTGGTCATACAGAAAGTGCTCCACTGCGTTTTTAAACTCCGTACAGCTTCACTAGAATCACGGCGTTACACCTGCGCTCTGAAAAACCAAAGAAATTCCACGCTTTTTAATGAACTTTACGGACCAATTTGAGTACTTTTTTTTTTTTTTTGTATCCAGTTTTTCTTGTAAACTAAGGATCGAATAATATTTGTGTCTGTAAATAATAATAATAATTTTGATGATATTTAGATTTTTATAAAATAAATTTCCACCCAAAAATTGCAACTTATATGTTTTTTCTTCTTCGTTATGCATTTTTTGGCTGGTGCGACTTCTAGTCTTAAAAATATGGTACTCCATTTTGATACTTAAGTAAAAGTACAGACACCAGAGCAAAAAGTAAAAGTATCACTTGAAAAAAAACTATTTACTTAAAAGCAAGTAAAAGCAAAACAAAGAGTAGTAGTAAAAGTAAAAGTATTTCGCGCAGAGTTTGAGATCTAAACCAGGACTAAACCAGGGTTTAACTAGGACTGAACCAGGTCTAAACCAGGACTGAACCAGGACTGAACCAGGACTGAACCAGGACTGAACCAGGACCGAACTAGGACTGAACCAGGTCTAAACCAGGACTAAACCAGGACTGAACCAGAATTTAACTAGGACTGAACCAGGTCTAAACCAGGACAGAACCAGGACTAAACCTCAAGTAAAAATAAGAAAAAAATCAACCGTACTGAAGTAAAAGTACATCTAGTAAGATACTAGAGCAAAAATAAATAAATAAATAAATACTCAAGTAAAAGTATCACATGAAAAAAACAAACTTATGTAAAAGCACTAAAGTACACGACTAAAATGTACTTAAAGAGTAAAAAGTAAAAGTATTTGGTGCAGAGTTGAAGGTGTAATAAAGCTTCAGTTTTGCTGGTTTTGATACAGATACAGAATATAAAAACATAAAGCAGATTAAGACAAAAATATTAGGAGAATCACCAGAGTGTCGTGGCCTTGTGGCACCTTCTGAAGCCGAGCCGAGGGGGTCATTACAGGTTTAGTCCAAACTCTGTCGAGTCTGAGTCAGAGCCACAAAACAATAATTACACTGGAATAAACAGCAATCTCCTGTCAGCAGCTCTATAAATGGACTTTTACTACTTTTACACACTTGACATTAAAGAGTCAATATTTTTAACTGATGCTGTTTCTTTTATTCATCCAAACTGTTCATTTATGAGAATTTTGTGTGATTAAAAGTCAGGTATTAAACTGAATGGTAACACTTTATTATCACTACACCTTATTTAGCCTTAATAAAGCATGAACAAAGACTTAATTAATAATGATTCACGCTTAGTAACTACTTAATTACTACCTGAATTAGCACTTAACTTGCACTTTATTCACCTGTGCTGTAAATAGTAACTCAATACTTCTTAATTACTCATGAACTAACCATTTGCATGTTTACAAATGCATATTTAAGTTCACATTTGAGCATTTATTAATGATTAGTAAACTATGAGAGAATGATTTACTAATAATGCAATGCAATGATCATTCAGGCGGCTGTTATCTGTTCGTTAAGTCTTTCTGAGAGCTTTTCTAAAGTGAAGATTAATTATGTTTTATTAAGCATTTGTTAAGTTTGGTCAAATTCCAGAGAAACAATAATTCATTATTAGTAAATCATTCTCTCATGGCTTAATAATCATTAATAAATGCTCAAATTTGTACTTAAATATACATTTACAAATGCACACACAATGGTTAGTTCATGAGTAATTAAGTAAGAAATACTTATGAGTAACTATTTACAGCACAGGTGAATTAAGTGCAAGTTAAGTGCTAATTCAGGTAATAATTAAGTAGTTACTAAGCGTGAATCATTATTAATTAAGTCTTTGTTCATGCTTTATTAAGGCTAAATAAGGTGTAGTTATTATAAAGTGTTACCAACAGAATTGATTACGTCAATTTAAATGTTGTTTCCTCGTCAAAATCAGACCTGGAGTTGTGTTTTGTTTTATTCACATATGTCTGAGAAATTCTTTATCATTAGTCTGTCTTCTCTCCAAAGCTCAAAACGCTCTATTCCACCTTGTGACGTCATGAAGTGGAAGTTTTCAAGTTTACAGCATAATACATGCATCACGAATCTCGGACTTCCAGTCATTGTGCAATTCATACTGGGAAGGATTTTCCAAAAAAGTGAGCATCAAACCTCCATGTTTGTTTTCCCAGTGGGATGTGTCTGTTGTCAAAGTCGATCTTTTCAAGTCTTTTGAACCATTTCACTTTTGTTTCTGGTTTCTGATATTGTCATATTTTAGTTTTGGGATTTGGACATCGTAATTGTGTGGTTGTTGGATCCTAACAGCAGAAAACGACTCGAGAAATGTGTTTGTGAACTTCATAAATGCAAAAGTGAATCAGATGTGTGTGACTCAAACCTCCGTTCAAACTGTTTCTCTTCCCAACGGAATTGAAAAATAGTGAAAGGTGAAGGTGATGGGCAGGACTGATCCACAGGAAGAACCAAAAAGGAAACATTTGTCTGACTAAGAAATCATCCCGAGTTTACAGAGAACATTTTGTATGTGGAGCAACAACAAAACAAAATCCAGATCTTTCGCTCAATCTTGGTAATTTAAAAAGTCAACACCAAAGTGAAAGGCTCCAGCTGTTCACCAAGAAACACCTTCCACTGCAAAGAGACCAAGACGTGATGTTGCTGTAAAACCACAAGAACAAGAAAGTGCAGCTCAGTCTGTTTGTCTTCTGCTCCTCTCACTTAACAAACGGGATTTTGTTTTGTTGTTGCTCCACATACAAAATGTTCTCTGTAAACTCAGGATGATTTCTTAGTCAGACAAATGTTTCCTTTTTGGTTCTTCCTGTGGATCAAGTCCTGCCCATCACCTTCACCTTTCACTAGTTTTCAATTCCGTTGGGAAGAGAAACAGTTTGAACGGAGGTTTGAGTCACACACATCTGATTCACTTTTGCATTTATGGAGTTCACAAACACATTTCTCGAGTCGTTTTCCGCTGTTTGGATCCAACAACCACACAATTACGATGTCCGAATCCCAAAACTAAAATATGACAATATCAGAACCAGAAACAAAAGTGATATGGTTCAAAAGACTTGAAAAGATCGACTTTGACAACAGACACATCCCACTGGGAAAACATCGGGATGCTCACTTTTTTGGAAAATCCTTCCCAGTATGAATTGCACAGTGACCGGAAGAGATTCTTGATGCGTCTACACTATCGATGCTGCCACACAGTCTAATAACACTTTCTGTTGAGAGAAATAAAGCATTTTAAAAAATATTTCCTCACTTCTGACGTTCAACTTCACGGTGTTGATGACCAAACAAAAGCACTCACCGGGTGGCGGGCGTATCCATGGAAACGGAGGTGATTTTCCAGTAAAAAAGAGCCATGCGTCCGCTTCTCGCTCCTGCGTCTGAATGTGAGTTTGAACTGTGCTAATCACTTTTAATACGATTATCTGTTTTTTTTCTCTCTCATGATTCAACAATTGGTCCAATGTCCACGAGCGCAGAACAGATTAGTCTCTCTGAAAATTCCCAAACTGTTACGTCATATTAAAGCTGCACTGAGTCATTTTTCTCGTGGAGGCTCCGTCACCTGCTTGTTTCTATGGATACGTCATTGCGCTACCTGGAATGTTCCGCAGTGTGACTTTAAACAGCTCTACTTTACATTTATGCAATTACATTTGGTTTTAAAGCTCAAAAACACCTCAAAAACAAACATTCTGACTGTGAGTGGGGTCGCCTCTCCACAGATCTGACCTGTAACTTGGTCCGGTTTGGTCAGAACTGAATCAGGACAAAACCAGGACTGAAACAAGATGAGACCATGACCAGACCAGGACTAGAACCCGACTGAACTAAGACCAGATCAGAACTGAATCAGGACTAGACCAGAATTAAATCAAGATTACACCAAAACTAAAACGAGGACTGAACCAAGACTGAACCAGGACTGAACCAGGACTAAACCTGGACTAAACAAAAACTAAACCAGGACTGAAACGGGACTAGACCAAGTGTGATTCTTCTGTTTGTCTGTCAGTTCAGATTTCAATCTTTTTGTTAATTCTTCTGGATGGTTTTAAAATGTGAACTTCTAAACCAGGTATAAACCAGGTCTAAGACCAGGACTAAACCAGGTCTAAACCAGGTCTAAACCAGGTCTAAACCAGGACTAAACCAGCACGAAACCAGGACTAAACCAGGACTAAACCAGGACTAAACCAGCACGAAACCAGCACTAAACCAGGTCTAAACCAGGACTAAACCAGCACGAAACCAGCACTAAACCAGGTCTAAACCAGGACTAAACCAGCACGAAACCAGGACTAAACCAGGTCTAAAACCAGCACTAAACCAGGTCTAAACCAGGACTAAAGCAGGTCTAAAACCAGCACTAAACCAGGTCTAAACCAGGACTAAAGCAGGTCTAAACCAGGTCTAAAACCAGCACTAAACCAGGTCTAAACCAGGACTAAAGCAGGTCTAAACCAGGTCTAAAACCAGCACTAAACCAGGTCTAAAACCAGCATGAAACCAGGACTAAACCAGGTCTAAAACCAGCACTAAACCAGGTCTAAATCAGGTCTAAAACAGGTCTAAAACCAGCACTAAACCAGGACTAAACTAGGTCTAAAACAGGTCTAAAACCAGCACTAAACCAGGACTAAACTAGGTCTAAACCAGGACTAAACCAGGTCTAAACCAGGTCTAAACCAGGTCTAAACCAGGACTAAACCAAGACCAGTTGTGACGTTAAACATTTCTACTGTACATTTATTCAATCACAGGTGGTTTTAAAGCTCAATACCAAGAAAAACAAACATTCTGCCCAGACCAAGTGACCTGTAACTTGGTTTCTGTGAAGATGGAAAAGTTTTAATGCCACACTGTGAAACATTCCCGACAAATCTACAGTATTTGGAAGGGCATCTGAAGTAATATAAGATTTCTGTAGACAGTGTCAGGTATCTTGGAATAAAACTATGAAACTGGTAAAGTTGCTTCAAAATGTGTAATTGTGACAGACTTAATTGGTGGTTTTAAAGGACTTAAGGTTACGCAAAATGGACTCTTGTTCTAATGTTTCCTCATCACAAACAGACCTGAACTTGTGTTTTGTTTCACTCACACATGTTTGAGTAACTTCTTTATCATGAGTCTGTCTACATCTCCAAAGCTCTAAATACTCTGTTCCACCTTGTGATGTCATGAACAGTGTTGGGAGTAACAAGTTATAAAAGTAACAAATTACTGTAATGTGTTGGAATTTTGTTGTAACGCAGTAATGTGGATTTACAGGGGAAAAAAATGTATTTTACTGTGTACAAATGTGAGTAACGTGTCATAAAGCTTTTTTAACCTGGATTGAAGTGGTGGGTTTTTCATTTTTCTTCATACAAATTCACTAAAATCACAGCGATATCAGCAGCAGTTCCGAGTGTCGGGACGGACCCAGAGGTGCACTCGTGAAGAAAGTTGAGTGACCGGCACAGAACTCCACGCTCCACGAGGCGAAGAGCAGCCGACGCCCGATCGAACTTTGAGAAAACACTGCTCCACGGACTCAGGGATCACTCAGGGACAGAACTAGATTCCTAGTGTTGGTTTAGTCCTGGTTCAGTTCTGGTTTAGACCTGGTTTAGACCTGGTTCAGTTCTGGTTTAGACCTGGTTTAGACCTGGTTCAGTTCTGGTTTAGATCTGGTTTAGTCCTGACTCAGTCCTGGGTTAGACCTGGTTTCAGTCCTGGTTTAGTCCTGGTTTAGTTCTGGTTTAGACCTGGTTTAGACCTGGTTTAGACCTGACTCAGTCCTGGGTTAGACCTGGTTCAGTCCTGGTTTAGTTCTGGTTTAGACCTGGTTTAGTCCTGGTTTAGACCTGGTTTAGTTCTGGTTTAGTTCTGGTTTAGTCCTGGTTTAGTTCTGGTTTAGACCTGGTTTAGATCTGACTCAGTCCTGGTTTAGACCTGGTTTAGTCCTGGTTTAGTTCTGGTTTAGACCTGGTTTAGATCTGACTCAGTCCTGGTTTAGACCTGGTTTAGTCCTGGTTTAGACCTGGTTTAGTTCTGGTTTAGTTCTGGTTTAGACCTGGTTTAGTTCTGGTTTAGTTCTGGTTTAGACCTGGTTTAGATCTGACTCAGTCCTGGTTTAGACCTGGTTCAGTCCTGGTTTAGCCCTGGTTTAGTTCTGGTTTAGTCCTGGTTTAGCCCTGGTTTAGTTCTGGTTTAGTCCTGGTTTAGCCCTGGTTTAGTTCTGGTTTAGTCCTGGTTTAGCCCTGGTTTAGTTCTGGTTTAGTCCTGGTTTAGCCCTGGTTTAGTTCTGGTTTAGACCTGGATTAGTCCTGGTTTAGTCCTGATTAGTCCTCGGTTTAGATCTGGTTTAGTCCTGGTTCAGTCCATATACGGCGCAAAAGTTCGGCATCTTCATTCAGTTATTTCGTTAAGAGTTAAAGTGCTGTGATATTTGTGTAATCTTTTACATTTTAAATACAGTAATATTGTAATGTAACAAATTACTCTGAAATGACAGTAACAAGTAAAGAAATACACATTACAGTTTTGAAGTCACTTACTCAACAGTGTTCATGAAGCAGCAGTTTTCAAGTGAACAGCTCCTTTTACTTTTAGTTCAGTAGATATCAACAATTCCAGGTCTGAAATCATCCAAACGTAGAATAATATGAGCTTTTTAATGTGAAGAGTTCATATAAAAAAAACATTTAAATGAAACTATTTGTTTACATTATGATGTTTTTGGAGGGTGGACAGTTTGAGGACCAGGATCAGTCTGTGTGAGTGCTGATTTGAGTCAGATTTGTCACAGGTTGAGTTCAGCCTCAGACCTGCAGCTCTGTTTCCCTCCACAGGCGACTCAGCTCCACATGCAGCTGTAACTGCTGTGAGAACACTGCTGCTGTGGGTTTCACTCTGCACAGAGGCTCTTTGTTGGTCAGAAACAAACCAACTGGACTTGAACCTGAGGTCACGAGATACGGAGCTCAACATGACCACTCACTCTGATTACAGAAGTACATTTTCCATTCATTTATACCCACAGATGTTTAAAAAAATCTAATTTCAAGAGTTCAGAGTCATCGCAGAGGAGGCTGGTCAGCTACCAGCAAACTATTATTCATAACGTGGATGTTTAAAGTTTAAAAAGCTTTCATAAAATGTAAAATTATAACTCTTGTAGTCATTACATGTTGGTGATTGTTGCTGATTGTAAATTGTTAGTTCTGTCTTTTCCCGAGAGTCCAGTTCTCGTCCGGACTCTGACCTCTGCTCCGTGTGACTCTTCACACTTCACTTTTATTCTGAGGTGTGACCTTCTGCCTCCTTCAGGGTGAACTTCTGTCACTGAAGACTCATGTCCACAGTCTCAGGTGGTGTAAACACGACAAAGTTTTTTGATCAAAAAGGTGAAGTTTGTATTTCGTTTTGGTCTTTCGTCCACACGGAGCCGGCGTTTTGGGTGGGCAAAAACTGAGTTTTTTGAAAATGGGTTCCAGAGTGGAGAAATCTGAAAACGTCGGTGTTGTGTTGTCGTGTAGAAGAGCAAACCGCAGCTTTTGGAAAACGATGACGTCACAATCCCATCATCACCAGGGTCTGATCCAGCGAAGCCTGCAGCCCTCGAACCTCGAACTAACCTCCGCTCACCACAAGAGCGTTGTCAAAATGGGACAGGTGTCGTATGGAGCCGCTCTCATCACCAAGCAACCGAGACACACTGTTAGCGCCAACACTAACAACACACACCGCAGATCTCACACATCACACACGAATCTGTGTATCACCGTATCAGAAACGATCTGCGTCCAGACACGTCGTTTCTGTCCACGATCCTTCCCTGTCCACACAGCTTTGAGCACATTTGTTTACACTTTACAGAAACAAAACTTAAAACCACATGACTCATTTGCATAAACTGAGCTCAGAAAAACAGCTCTCTATTGTGCTGCTGATGTGGTTCAGCTTCTGTCGGACTAAAGGACACGACTCAGTGGAATATGAGTGTTCTTTCTGTGACTTATGTTTCACTTTTGCAAAACAAAACGTTTATATTTCTGGGATAGAATCTAAAATCCACTAAATTACTTTAAAGTTTAAAAAAACGTTGATGAGATTTGCATTATTAAATATTATTATCATTGTTACAGCGCCACATACAGGTGTGGCAGGTGTATTACATCGTTTTCACTCAGTGCTCCGTTGTCGTCTGGACGTGAATAGTTTTTGATCCGACACGTGTGTGGACGTGAATTTCTTTCAACCCGCGAAATAAAAAAATCCAGGAGTGTTATCACGTGTCACGCCTCACACACAAAATAAAAGCATCTCATCACCACTGGCTGCTTTAAAGTTACACACTTTATGAACTCTCATGTGTTTTTGTGGTTCTTTTTTTAGGGATCAGTTATCCACCTGATATTGAACATTTAGGCCTTTTTGGAATAATTGATTTTTTTCTTTTTATTTTTGGAGATTATAGTTAATCTATGTAAAATAATTGTATTTATGTATCTGTTGATTATTGCATATGCAATTTATCATTTACTGTATGATAATGCAATTTATTATTTATGGAAACATCCGAATAAACTTATCATCATCATTTAGGCAGAGATAATTTTCTGTGCAGCCCAGTCTCTGTGTGTCACAACTAGTTTACAAACTTAACATAAATGTGTCTGTACTAAAAATTGTAAATGTAAAATGCATATTAGACCATCCCTACATGTGTAATACTGTAATGTCTAAATACTACGGCTAAAAAGATCACATTTGATTTCATTTTGTGTTTTTTTTATGTCGTGTTGTGTTTTTTTGTTCCACTTCCAAATCTTGAGCTTGGATTTTGGACAGACGTTCCTCGTAGCCTGAAACTCTGGAGAAGCCAACCCAGACACTTTTCACCTGTGAGGTACGTCTGCTAACCACTCTGCCACTGTCCCATAAAACAAGCCATAAAACAAAAGAGGAGTGACGACAAAGTGAGGAGCGAGGAGTGAGGACGGAGTGGGCTGGAGTGTGACCCCAGACACCTTCACAAACGAGACGGGAGCCGACACCAGAGAGGGTCAGAGTCCGGGTAAGACCAGCTCAGACTCAGATCTTCAGCACACAGTGAGTCAGGACTAACATGTTTTCAGAAACCGCCCACTAACTTCCAAATACACCAAAATACTTCTAAATGCCACTAAATACTCCAAAATCCACAGAAAATCCTTGTGTATTTCTGACACTGAGGCTCTGGATGACGACGTCGACCACAGTGAGTCTCTGCTGAATCAGGAGTGACAGATTTTATTACACAATGAAAAAAAAAAAAAAAAATGGGCTGGTTTCTTTCACATCAGAGAGTTTGTTTGGGGTGAATCATATGGGGGGGTATAGCTCAAAATGTGAAAACAGGAAAATACCTCTGTGTAATCCATTTATTTCAACAAAGTAACTGTAATCCAATTACCACTCACTGAAACAGTAACTGTAACTGAATACAGTTACTCATAATTTGTACTCTGATTACATAACTCTGGTACATGTAATCTGTTACCCCCAACACTGTGTGACAGGTGCAGCCTACGGAGTCGCTCCTGTCGCCAGCAACCGAGACACACTGGTAACACTAACAACACACACCACACAGATCACACACACGGATCACACACACACACACACGGATCACACACACGGATCACACACACGGATCACACACACGGATCACACACACGGATCACACACACGGATCAAGCCCTGGGGTTTCAAAATGACCGACCATTCAAGTCAATGGGCCGAGCTCAGTGGAGCATGATCCCTGATTCTCCTTTAGCCCGGCGAGGTTCTGCCGGTGGCTGTGGGCCGACCGAGCATGTGCAGTAGTGTCTTTTCTCCCGCGGGTACACACCAATGCATGGGAACACACACACGGAGCGCGGGCTTGTGCATCACGTGATCATTTTGACCAATCAGAGCGAGAAGAACAGGAGCCAACGTGAACAATTATAAAGTGTTTTTTAAGACAACTGAAGGATTTTGAGCTGAGAAAAAGTTTATGATCTAAAAATAGGTAAATCTGACATTTTTAAAAGTTGTAGGTCCCTGTCAGACGAACACGAGCAGTTTGTGATCACATTGCCTCTATGAGAAAAATCTTGTCTCAGCCCTGGGTTTTTTTCTGCTGTAGTTCCAGTGAGAGTCACTATGACAACTGGAGGCAGCTACAAGCGGCAACACCTCCAGTCATTTTAATAGATCCACGACACGGATCAATAACAAAGACACACACGAATCATTAAACTGTTGGATTTTGAGACCAAGTTATTCTAATAATTATCATCCAAAACTTATGGCTAAAAATTAAAACTTATACAAAATGTCTATATTTCTGGGATAAATCTAAAATCAGCTAAATAACCTTAAAGTTTAAAAAAACATTGATGAGATTTGCATTATTAAATATGATTATCATTGTTACAGCGCCACATACAGGTGTGGCAAGTGTATTACATCGTTTTCACTCAGTGTTCTGTTGTCGTCTGGACGTGAAGATTTACTGATCCGAGATGTGTGTGGATGCAAATGTTTTTCAGCCCGTAAAAAATAAATCAATCCAGGAGCGTTGTCGTGTGGAGCCTGAGACAGACTCAACTTTGACTCTGTTTAAATCCAGGCTCAAAACGGTTCTGTTTAGATGCATCTGACTGAAAGATTTTCACTCTGCACTCTTCTCTCTCATTTAATGTCTCTTTCTCTTTTTTATTTTTATTTTATGACGATTATTTATGTTTTAGATTTGTTTGTATTGTGACTTTAATGTATTTCTTATTCTGTAAAGAATTTTGAATTACTTTGTGTATGAATTGTGCTTTACAAATAAACTTGTCTTGTAACAGGCTTTGATCAGGAGAAGCTGGAGGAGAAAAAACACAAACTTCACACGGCCTTGACCCTCATCCCAGGATTTTGTTCCAACTCCGCGGAGAGTTTGAGTTCTTCTGAATTTGATCTGAAAATCCCAGTTCAACAGGACCGGTTCTCGTCCAGACCCTGACCTCAGCCCGGCGTCGTCAGTGACACGAGGCTTTTATTATGAAGGTGTCTCGTGTCGCACCTCCACAGCTCACTCCGCTCCCCTGACCCCGAACCACAGACTCACACCACAGCCTCCAAGAAATATTTTAAACATTCTATATTCCAGGAAAAAAAAAGTCAGATTAAACTGTTCTCAACACAAGCTTTAATTAAACTAAATGTCATCAGGCTGTATTCAGTCCCAGTCTGTGCTGCAGTGCCCCCATGTGGTGACTGGAGGACAGTGCTGGAACGTAATGAAGTAAAAGTAATACAGTACTGCACTTGTAAAAAAAAAACTTGAGGTATCTGTACTTTACTTAAGTAACCAAAAAATTGTCCACATGAATGCAATACCACAGATAAATGATTTGCTTCATTAGTTTCCATTTTTAATTCCGTTCAGTTGTATTTTTTGGATCTTACATTGTTCTTTTTTCAATTTTATGTTGATTTTTGTGTAACTTTGGTGGTTGTTTGTGGAGAGGAGTTAATCTGGGCTTGTTTTGAGTTGTTTTGAAATCATTTGGAGAAGGATTAGTGCTGATCAACCTTCTGCTCTAAAGAAAATATGTACAGAAAACAACAGGGGGCAGGATTAAGAGCAGAGGGGCAGATGTCACTCTTCTGTTTCACACACATCAGACTGTGTGGAGAGAAATGTAAATACTATATGTATGTGTACTATATGTGTATTATATAAATATATATACTACTGCTACTGCTAATGTTACTGTAGTATTTTGAACTTTATATTGGGTATTAACAGTGTTGTGAAGTTTACTTTTAAAATGTATTCCCCTACAGATTACAGATTACAGACCCCAAAATGTAGTTTGTAACATAATCCATTAAATTATTTAAAGTGAGAAATGTAATCTGAATACTTTGGATTACTTGATTTGCTGTAGAGAAACAAAGACGAGGATACTTAACCGTATTAAAAATATTAGTGATAGAAGAGGAGGAGACACGTCCGCGCAGCATGGTTTAGTCCTGTTTTAGTCCTGGTTTAGACCTGGTTTTAGTCCTGGTTTAGATCTAGTTTAGACCTAGTTTAGACCTGGTTTTAGTCCTGGTTTAGACCTGGTTTAGATCTAGTTTAGACCTGTTTTTAGTCCTGGTTTAGACCTGGTTTTAGTCCTGGTTTAGATCTAGTTTAGATCTAGTTTAGACCTGGTTTTAGTCCTGGTTTAGACCTGGTTTAGTTTCCAGCAATGAGTGGAATTACTGAAAAAAAAAATAAAAAAATAAAAATAAAGTGAAAACAGGAAAATCCCTCTGTGTAATCCATTTATTTCAACCATGTAACTGTAATCCAATTACTACTCACTGAAACAGTAACTGTAACTGAATACAGTTACTCATAATTTGTACTCTGATTACTTAACTTTGGTACATGTAATCTGTTACTCCACAACACTGGGTATTAAACAATATGGTAAGGACTTTTAACTTTTAATTTGCTGACATTAATAGTCTGCATTAATAGTCTGCATTAATAGTCTGCATTAATAGTCTGCATTAATAGTCTGCATTAATAGTCTGCTCTGTAAAATAAATGTGAGTATTTAAAGTGGTTTGACTTGAGGATAGATCAAACTCACTGGTTTGTTTAATCCCTCAGTCGTCCAGGATCCAC